ATCCTTAAAATGGGGGTGACTGTACCTCCTCTGCCCACTTCAGAGAAGTAGTCGATCACATGAGAAAATGCTACCAATTTGTTTTGATAAATTGCTACGGAATTTTGTAAGACTGGCCCATGTGATTCTCTCCCATTGTATTGAAAGAGGTGGGTGGCCAAGTCTCCCTGGCTGGGCTGTTACAAGAGAGAACGTCCCTCACTTTTTAGGCTTAAGAAAAAGAAACCCAGCTTGAGGAAGAAGACAGCATTTTGCAAAGTCCCTGCCTTCATTCTTCCCACACTCTTTATTTTAGAGCCTACTGTTTCACCGAAAAGGCATTTTCCGCTTCAAGATCGACCCGCTAGATTTTACCCAAGTGCCCAGGTTCTGTTTGGGACCCAAAGGCCTCTTCTGGGGCAACTCCTGTCTCCTGACCTTACCTGCTTGTGACACAAGCTTGACATCTGCCCCTCATCCCCAAGACAAAGGCTCAGCATCCTCAACCCCTGGTTTCCCCAAATGTTGCCAGATTCCAGCATAAGCAAACGCAGCTTTGGAGTGTGTCTCCGCCTCGGGCCCTGGGCGTGGACACTTTCATGTCCTGATCTCAGGGAATTCTCACAGTTCCCTGTGAGGTACAACATTCGAGGGGTCTGCCCAGCCCCCCACACCCCTCCCCTCAGGGGTGAGTCTCAGGAGGCTCTGTGTGTTTTTTTTGACGCTGCCCCTCTGGCCATAGAGGAGCCCCTCTGGGTGGCACTGAGCCAAGCTTGGGCTCTCCCAGTCTCTCTCCTGAGTGTGACTGGAGCACAGCGGCACTGAGAGGACCGTGTGGGACCATCTGACTGTGTGTGACCATCCGACTGTGTGTGACCATCCGACTGTGTGCCCAGAGAAGCGAGGGAGGGGGAAGGGAGGCAGGGAGAGAGAAAGGCCGAGGGAAGTTAGGACTGAGATGTCAAGAGTCCCGTGGCCCAGAGCGATGGAGAGAGTGAGCCCATTTCCTGAAACTTTTCCAGTTCCTGGCTCCAAATCCTCCCGAGGCTTTGTTTCATTTTCTGCCCTTGAGTACCATGATCTGTCCCCAGTTTAATAAATAGCACCTTCCTTTTTTTGTTTTTTTTTTGTTTGAGTTTAGCGTGATTCCATTTCGCTTACAACTAAAAGAGCATTGATAAGTCTGGTAGCGTTTTAGGAGCCCCATTTTTCAGGGAGAGAAACTAAGGCCCAGGGATTAAGCCACGAGGCCAGGGTCACACAGGTGGTGAGGGAGGGGCCGGAGTCCCAGGCCAGCGATTCCTCTGGCCGATGCGTGCGCTTTCTCTATTCTAGGCCCTTTCTACAGACTTTACATGTGTTGCCTCGCTTAATCCTCAGAGCACCCTGCGAGGTGGAGGTAACTCTCAGCGCCACTTTCAAGATGAGGAAAGGGAGACACGGAGAAGTTGAGCCGTCTGCTAGAGATCACACAGCAGGGGAGGACCAGAGCCAGGGCTGGACCCGGGCTTGAGGCCACAGGTAGGCTCTTAATGAGCTGTTAGTGCGGCTGTGCTAGTTCTGAAGGCAGAGCGCTGGCTGTGGAAGGGGCTAGAATTTTCCAGAATTTGGTAAACCCAGGAATGTCAAGTTGAACCATAGACCCTTAGAAGATGGGAGAGCCTTTGGTGGTCCCAACATTTCTACCAATGTGAGTGTCTGTTCTTCCGCAGCTCTGAGTGGTGGTCATTTTGCCAATGGTATATGGTGGAGTCTGTTCCATCATGGAGCAGGTCTGGTCGTGCCCCCTGGGTTCTCACAGAATATGCTGCCCACATCCCTTTCCCTCAGCCCCATCCAGAGCTCCTCTGGTGTTTGTGAGGGTCCTCCCTTCAACGTCCTTCATGTGACCTCACCATGCTGGTCTCACAAGTGAGAGGCTCAGATGAGACCATGGTGCCCCTGATGGACCAGAGCCACCTCGAGCAGTACCTAGCCACTTTCTTGGGCAAATCCTCAGGAAACTCCGAAAGTTCCCCATTGTAAGTCTAACCTCCGTTCACCCCCCTGAACAGGGATAAACCACAGCTCTGGGTGATTGCATAGTTTCTGCTGTGGTTTGGGAAATGTGTGGGTTCATTTATGAATTGGATTTTGTCAGAAAGACTTCAAGCTCAGCCGTCTTCCCCCCCAACATACCGTTTATGACCCAGCTGGGACAGAGTGGAGAAGGGATACGCCCTTGAGGGCTGAGACCCCTGTCGAGGAGATGCTCTCCAAGATGGTGCTGAATGCATACTGGGGTGTGCCGACAGAGGTCCCGGTTCCTAGGGCCCATGGGTGGTGGAGAAACAGAAAGGGCTTGCAGTGACTCCAGAAAGAGAAAGCTGAGAAGGACCACAAGATCTTACAGGCCAGAGTTGCCCAGAGACAGGCTGCGGATTATTTCAGGTTGGGGTCACTGATGTTTTTGAGAAACTGGGAAAAGCCAGAGATTTTCTCCTTCAAAATCTACATTACAGACCTAAATTTGCTTAGGGTAGTTCATGATCCCACAAACCTATCCAAGTACCTCATCTAAGAACCCGTGCTCTAGAGAAACCTTGCCATCTGATTAAGACGCAGAGGGGAAAGATGCTTCTACCCAGGGTTCAAGCAGGGTATTATTTCTGCTGGTACCTTTGCCGACCCCCATCCCCTGGCTGGGTTGGGCCCTTCCCCTTTCTCTTGCACCTGTGCACCTTCCTGTTGGCGCTGGATTGCCATGGTTTTAAAAAGGTCACCCTTAGACCAGCAGTGTCAGCATCACTTGGGAACTCCTTAGAATTGCAAAAACTCTTGGTCCCTGAACTAGAGACTCCAGGGTGGGGCCCAGCAATCCGTTTCAACAGGCCCTCCTGGTGATTCCTAGAATCACTGAGTTTGAGCAGGGTTACTGCAAGCAATTCTCTTCTTTACCGTGTGTCTGCCCTACTAGATACAACGTGCCCGGTGCATAGTAAGTGCTCAGTGAAGATTTATTGCATCAAGTTTTCCTGACTCCCAGGCCAGGATTTTTTCCTCAGTAGCATAAAAGCTCCGAGCTGTGGTGACTGAGACTCCATGTTATTTTGGGTCCAGTTTCTTTCCGCCCTAGGGCCCAAGATCAGGCTTGGCTCCACTAGGCAGAGGAGGGAGCCTGGTCTTAAGGCAGGTGCCAGGAACATTCACACGGGGATGGAGCCAGAGAGACATCAAACCTGGGGCACCTTGTCAGACAAGGTCCCAGCCACCTGGTGGATGAGGGGCAGGCAGGCAGGGAGCTGCCTGGCCAGCACGTATGCCCTGGGCGGGTGGGAGAGGAGCCCAACTCTGCCACAGTCTGCAGGCTGTTCCTGCTCCCCTTGGTGCTTGCTGCACACTAGCCTTGGCAGAGGCTGCCAAACCTCTGCCAGGGACATACTTGCTAGACTGGTGGGGAGAGAAATGGCCGCTTTTAATTTTTAATGGATCTTCAACTTTTGGGGGATTCAGGGAAGTGGTTGGAAGATTCCTCTTAACTTCTAATGTGTGAGTGTTTGCTAGAGGGGGCAAGAGTTGTTTCTCAATTCCACGCCTCCCATGTGGGGCCAAATTCCCACAGTTTTATTCTTCAGGGTAAGGGAGTGTCTTCTACACAGTGCCTCAGTTGCTTGATATTGAAAAAACACTAACTTTTTTGAGGGTTGCAGGGAAAAAATTTCTGTAACTCTTCCAGTCTCATATTGTTCCAGTTCTTCAAACATTACAAAAAAAAGTACATTTGAGTTTTGAAGGGGGCGAGGGGGACAAAAGAAACCTGTTTACCCTAAATTTCCAGTGCTTTTATTTTTAAAAAGTATCCTTATAGTTTTCTTTTGGGGAGGAGTGAGGAATGATTTATGTTCACCTTGCATCTCATATATGAGCAATTCTTAACATTTTTATTCTAAAAATCAATTAATGGTGGGAGATGTAGGATAGATGCTACAAGATGACAAGTGATTTCTCTTGTCTCTATATAGGGCAGGTCCTTCACACTTTTAATTTAAAAAAATCTGGTTTCTGGGGGAGGAGGACATAAAAAAAAAATCTCCTTTAAATCTTCCCAAATCACAAGGAAGAAGTTTCTCAAATTAAAAAAAATCTGAAATTTTAAGGGTGTTGGAAAAAAGTATCCTGGTTCACCTTCTATTTCACATAGAAGCGGTTTCTCAATTTTTTCTTTTCGAAATCACCCTGACGGAGGGATATGGTTGGGGGGGTAACGTTATCCCCTTAATGTTTAACCCTTTTTGTCTTACTGTAGAGCTAGTTTTTAAAACTTTTATTTAAAAAATATATCTGATTTTTTTTTTTAATTTGACAGAAGTAGGTAGAAAATAGTCACTTCACCAGCATTTCACATAAAAGTAGCTCCTCAAATATTTATTTTTAAAATCAACCTGCGGGGCGTCGGGGGTGGGGGGAATGCGGCTGGAGAGAGTCCCCTTAACCCCTCTCGTGTGACATGGGGCCAGTTCTTCAAACTTTTATTACATCAGGTTTTTGAGGGGTGGCAGGGGCAGTAGGAATATTCCCAGGAAGCCTTCTGAGTCTTCCATAAGGCCAGCTCTTCAAAACTTTTATTTTAAAAATTACTCTAATTTTTTTTGGGGGGGTAGGGGGTAAGGAGTTCCCATTAACCACTTGTGTTCCGCCAGAAGCCGGCTCCCCAAACTTTTCTTCAAAGGCGAAAATGACATTTCCGAGGGGCTGGAGGGCCGGGGAGGGCAGGGGAGTCTCGCCCGGG